AAGGAGACGTCAGAATTTTATGAAATTTGGAATAAATGTTATAATTGGCTAGAACAGAGAAAGAAAAAGATATAATTATTGATGTATATAAAATGTAAATAAGATGTAAAGAACATTTAAAATGTAAAGCACTGTTCTGTTAGAAGAAAAGATTTATGTTTATGTAGTTTTGGTGTATGGTGTATGGTGAAAAAAAAAAGAAAAAAAAGAAAGTCCTATCAGAAGTGGAGAAGCTTTCAGAAGGTCTTAACAGATGGGTAGAATCTAGAGCAAGTAGCCCATTGTCTAAGAGTGTGAGCTGTGGCTGTGAATAAACTGATAGTCAAGGAAACTCTTTTAATGGTATGATAGATAGTTTCAATAGGATAATTTGATAACCCTTACTGTATATAACCCTGAAACTCACCAAGTGACTTTTTAAGTTCTTGCAAATATAAACTGAGACATTACATCCATATGTATTGCCTCAGGCTCCTTAGAGGAAAGGACAGTATCAGGGTAAAAATATTTATTTGTTCTGAATAAACTGAATTTCTAAACTGATTTTATAGGACTCCCATTTAACAGCACTGCAGTAATCCAATATAGATATCACTGCATTATATATAATTGCAGTCAAAAATATATTTTCCCTAGATGTACTACAAGTGGCATATTGACTGAGTTGGTTGTGGTATTTATATTTTGATATAATTGGGAAATCATCTGGTGCACTAGATTGGAAAGTGTCCTGGTAAACTATAGGTAATACAATCTAATCCAATTCTTGCTAAATCTTGGGTTCCCTTTTTAGCTAAAACACTAACAACAGCTTGTTTGTACCTGGATGAAATTTTAATAGGCTGTTTATATCCAGCTTACTACTAAGCCTAAATACAGTTGATTAATTGGTCTCATCTCACCTAAAACTGAACTTTAAAAAGATATTGAGAATTTGATGTCATCAGCATTCTGGTGCTAAATACAGAGGAAAATAATTATTAGCTGCTAGAATTTGAGGGGAAAAAGCAATGTCACCTCCATTAGAATTGTATAGAATTGAAATAAACATCTGAATCGGCAAGTAAAATTTATATATCAGGAGCCTTTCTAGAAGTAGCGTCCTTGTTTGCTTTCATCAGTGGTGTTTTGATTGCACCCACATGCAAAATAAATTTTAAAAACTGTTAAGAAAACAATTAATGTAACAACCACTATCGCCTCTAAAAATTAAAATGTCTTACTAGTCATTTGAGCATTTCCAACCAGGGTCAGTGCACCGAAATGCCTTTGGAATGCTTGTCCTACATGATGGAACTGCACACCTGCCAAATGTAGCAGACTTTCTTTATCATAATAGGATTCCACAATGACAATACCCCCCATGTCCTGAGACCCAGGTTTTCTCTCAGTTCTCTTATAGAGGCAGTTTGAGTTATCTGAAAAGCAGGAAGGGAGATAGACATTACTGAGAGCTAGAACTGAGAATATTCTCAGTTGAGATGAAAATTTCAGCAAATCAGTTGAGATGAGAATTTCAGCAAATCACAGAGGAAATATGTAATCATCAGACTTGAAGTAATACTTAACAGAAATGGCAGTAATTTTATGAAAACCTTTAAGGCAGTGGTCTCCAACCCCTAGGCCACACAGCTGGAGGTGAGTGGCAGGCCATCAAGCAAAACTGAAACTACCACCACCGCGGTCCATGTAAAAATTGTGTTCCACAAAACTAGTCCCGGGTGCCAAAACGGTTGGGGACTGTGCTTTAAGGCACTATTTTTAGACAATTTCTTGTATCGGTTTTACTGTTACTCACTCATAAAAATGTTAAATGTGGGAAGAAAATCATATCTCTTCTACTACAAAAAGTATTTTGGTGACAAGAATCCAATAAACTGTTTAATGAACTAAGCATGTGTCTCAAAAATTTACATAAACATAAATTATTCCTACAATTGTCTTCTTGATTAAAGAGTACATTATAAACACAGCAAATCCAGTCTTCATATATATTAAGATTCTCTTTCCCTCTTTGAAATGCACTTTTATTTAAATAATTATCCATTTTTCTGCATATTGATGCATATTTCTTACAATATCTCAAAATACTTTTTCAACATTCTTTCCCTCTAAAACTGGGGAAGAAGGGTGTGTGTGAATCAAATTAGTGCATTAATCTAAAGTACAAAATTATATTCTGAAAGTGCCTACTACATTTAATTGCTCCAACACTTTGAAGCAAACAGAAAATGCCTCAGTTCAGTCTGCTTAATATTTCATTGTCATATACTGAAAAGAGGAAAGTTTTTTGGCGCCTGTACATGAAGTAAAATGGGAAGGCCTCTGAAATAATGATAAAAACGTAGGATGTTTAAAAACTACAATGCTCTGCTCACTTATTTACTTTTGTTGTACATAGGTGTGCACTTCTTCCTCACTCACCTCCTGAAAGAGCTGTGGCTTTACAGAGTTGCAGATGGGAAATTTTTTCACTTGTGACATTTCCTTGGATGACTAGATTCCTACTCAGCAATGCCACAACAGCTCTAAAAGTAAGATGCTCTTTGAGAACCTGCTTTTCAGTAACAGCATAAGAATACCTATAGGATACATAAGAATAAATACTGCTAGTTTTACCAAATTGTGTCAACGATTCCATCAATTTTTAAAGGCCAGAAATAAGCTGAATTGAAGGCAGAACTTAGCCTTAATACATCTTCTAGCACCAGTATTGATTCCCCTTTCGGCAATGAGTACTTAATCCGCACACATATGCAGTCGCCTATATATGTGAAATGCAATTGTACCAATGCAGATCCACAGTTGTATAAACTTCAAATTAACATCACATGAGCCTTGCCAATGCAACACTGCCAACTCAGGCATGATTACCTTAGTGGAGACGTAATGTAGAGTTCTGTACCCTTTATTTCCTTAATGGTAAGAATTTCCTTTTTCTTTTGAGCACCTTCAAAACTTCCTCTGCATACAACAACTTCATCTCCAGGTTTCCAATCCACAAAGTCTATTAAATCCAACTTTGTTTCATTGGGGTATGCTGCTGATTTCAAATATGTGACTGATATTTTTGGTACACAGCCTGAAATATTAAATAGGATTCACATATGAGGGAAAAAAGGATGCCATTTTTAATGAATATTAAGCCCGGCCCCAACCATATCTGTAGTGTTTAAGAACATAATGAGAGCAATGTATGGATTAAGAATGCACATTTTTCTCATTTTTAAGTTTTTAATATAATACTGTCATTGTTCTGTCCCCCGTCCGACTCACACACCCCAACCAGTCAGCCGAGGCCTGAAAAACTGCTCGGCACAGACAAAGACAAAGGAATGTCTTGGCAGCAACTT